TTATTTCCGCCCGAGCAATCAGACACTGAAAACTTCTCTCAAGCCCAGATTTCGCCGTGTCGAAATTGCAAACCCCGAATATCGCCTGGACTTCGCGCTAATGAACCTGGCACATTTCTCATTGGATCCTGACGCTGAGTAATCTGTTTTGATTCCTTCCCCGCCCCGTTTCCGCATCTTCCGTTCCGAGCCTTTGATACTCCTATCCCAACCGCTATATAATCCCACTCTCATCCATCATTTCCTCTCATCTTTCTCTCCTTCCGCATCTATGGTGTCCCCGAATCAGACGTCCTCTATCCCCTATCTGCCTGCATATTGCCCATACACGAGAGACCCTTCGAACTTACCTCAGCATGGCTTCCATCCCACTGATGAGCGCTTTCTAGGTGGTCCAATGATTCAGCGTTCATATGACCCATTGAAGCCCGACGCCTCGAAAGACAAAGTCGATAACCACCAATTCTCATCGTTCCACCGTGGAGACCTCGCGCTTCGATACGTCTACGAAGTCGCTACGGAATACGAACTAGGAGGTGAGTTGGTTACCTTACCCATTATCTATCATGTCTATCGCAGGGATTTCCATCTTCGTTGGTCCGAAATTGCGGCATACCTCCGTGACGGCACGATTCCTTCTCGCTACGGCCCAAGTCATACAGACGACGGAGTTATTCATTCGCCCATGAATGATGACAACTTCCGTAAAATGGTGCGTCGTTTCTATATGCGAACTACCCCCTTTCGCGAGTGGATTCTCGAGCGCGGTTCTCGGCGCGCAATTCAGGAACGTCACAACGAGTTCGAGTCCACGCAGGACCCCTGAGAATACCGCCAGGAGGTAGGATTCCAGATTCCGGACTTTGATTTTTTTGTCCGGACTATACAAGTGAACGAGGTCAAAATTTTTGTCTGGACTAGACCTCACACCCTTGAAAATTTCGGATTTTTTGTCCGGACTACACCTCAAAGGTCAAAAATTGCGAAAAATTCTATAAATTCCCCACAAAAATCAGCAAAATTCCTAAGGATCATCTACAACAGTGCTAGTCATCAACACCATTGTCCTCCTCAATGTCCAGTAAATTAATATTACCCTTCCCCCTCTGCTGCTTGCATAAAAGCCAGCAGGTGAGAGGAACTCTGAAGGTAATGTTGAGCTAACTTCAGCGGGAATTTGGCGGGTGAGCGTAGCTTCGAGAGCAACATGCTCGAACACGTCTCGGTATGTACGGCCACATCCTATCCAGTCCGAAGCATTCCATAAAGGATTCACCTGTTGTAGGTCGTCTTCGTTGCTACCCGATTAAGACAGACAATGGCCACTCACTTGGCCCGTGATCGCGTAGTGGTTTTGATTGAAGGGAGGTAATATATCAAGTTACTTGACTCAAGTTGAACAATGATCATCAAAAATTTTGTCCGGACTCCGTATCCAACCTACCTGTGGCCCAAATTTCCTGTCCGGACTAAGAATTCGAGGTCGGGACGGTCCGGACCAATTTTGTCCGGACTGGTATCACAGCTCGAGTAAATTTTCAAAAATTTTGTCCGGACTCTTGAATCCTACCTCCTGGCGGTATTCTCAGGGGTCCTGTCCACGCTCTACGAAGCAGTCTTGCCGCGCATTGGTCACAACAACCTCCTCACTATGACTCCGGAGGAGGTTGCGCGGGAGGTCTCGGAGCAGTACCACACGTGGCATCTCGACGCGGTTCCACGAGCTCGTGCAGCGTTGCTTCATCTACATCACAATTGGTGATTGGTGCGCTTGCTTATACCCTTTCCATTCCACCCATTTCCACTCTCTCTGCATATTCCACTAATATCTAGGATCCCGAGGGCGGAATCCAAAGTATCCCCCTCTGTGGAAGTGGCCATAGGCCCACTCGTCGCGCCTGGTGATCAAGACTGTTGCGCGCGAGCTCCTCATCAGGCGTTAGCGACCTCTCTGAATTTCTTTCACCTCTCTAAGGGTTGTACTACTAACATTCCTCCACCTCATCATATTTCCATCATCTCTAGGTCCCGAAAATGCTTTACGACTGCGACGGCGCGACAGCATCGCGAGGAATCGCGCTCCATCAAGCCACGTGATCGCGCATCAAACCGCGCGTCGCGCGTAAAACGCGTCGTAGGATGGTATTCTGGCACTCGGGCTACGTCTCTCGTATTTTCATCCCTACTAATCATGCTCTTGCTCCACTCTATCATATTTGTTCGCTCACATACACGATTTTAGCTCTGATACAATTCAGGTACTACTCGGACTTACCTACACACCGAAGGTGACGCCCGTATCGAAACCTCGGTCATCTCGGACTGCGCTGGGGCTCGAGACGTCGGAGGACTGGTCATCCTCTCGACAACACTGTGGGGGCCAGTGTGCTCGCCCTATTCTGTCTTTGCGTTGATCCCGGATGGATTGATGGTCTAGATGCAGGTTAGCACGAGGTATCTATCATGGTCACTCTACCTATTTTCTTTCCTTATTTATTTTACCCTGATGTCGTTCCTGGTTACTCGGGCAACGGTGGCGCGAGAGCACGCGTTGCAGCCGACCCACTGTTGTATATCTGCACGGTTATGACATTTAGGGGGCATTCCCTCTTGCCTTGATACTACGTCCAACTCTCTGAGCCTACGAGTCCCCGCGCCTGAGTTACGAGTCCCCGCGCCCCCGAGTCTGCTCCATTATTTTACCCCGAGTCCTTAAATCCCGCCGCTACCGCTGAGTCACTTTTATTCTCTTTTCCGTGTCAATTTCTATTCTACTTGTATAGGTTGGGTACGGTACGACCGCTACATCTCAAGGTCCACGCTAGGACCAGCCTTCTCTTCTTCAGCGTCGGGTGCTTATCGTTGTCTTTTGCTCTCTCATTCATGTCACTCGCACTTCCGCGTCGGCGGCTCTGGTGTTCCAGGACGGGGAGGATGGACATACACCGCATCTTCTCCGTGGTCGGTGGGTGCTCGTTGTTGGGGATATAGCTGTCGTCGTCGTTGACTAGTGATGTGCCGGGTCGGGCCTCAAGCCCAAGCCCAAGCCCAAGCCCGACCCGACCCGACCCACCCCTTGGGCCCGGGTCGGGCCCACCATTTTTGCCCGACCCTGAGTCGGGCTTGAGAAAAATTGTGCAGCATGGGCTGGGGAGGTGACGTAAATTGTGTGTACCATCTGCCTCTGACGCCTGGTTCAGCCATCTTTCATATTTGGAGGCATTCGATGCTGACATCACCTTTTCTAGCAGCGACCCAAGCCCGACCTGACCCTGGGTGGCAGTGCTCCGACCCGACCCAAGCCCGGGCTTTCAAGCCCGACCCGACCCGAACAACACTATCGTTGACGGTGTTCCGTCTCTCCGCGACGACGACTTCATTTTCACTGTCCTTTCCTCCTCATTCATCTCATTTACACCCAAACTCGCATCTTCTCTCCCATCTTTCCTTGTCATATCTTGCTGACAGCGGTTTCTCTTCCCAGAATGCTCCTCGGTGTCTCCGTCGCCACCGATGGGACGCTGTATCAAACCGAATACACCGCAACCTATTCGCCCACTGCCCTCGCCGCTCTCCAGCATGTGCACTTGAGTCCCGAGAGGTGCATGCGTGGGCGCAATGGGCCCCGATATTGCACATGGCCCCGGACACGCGCTGATAACCGTGAAGGAGCTTCTCCGCCCGCCGTTCGCCGCTACCTCTAGCTCTAACGACGACCGCACTCCGCCCGTGCACGCAGGCGAGCATCTGGTTCCTGCCACACCAAGGCGGCACACTATGCACGCTCATGCACCGCAGCAGAACTACGCACGTTCCATTGCGAAGCGGGTTCGCACGATGCCCTTGCCCTTGTCGGGTCTCGATCCGAGTGTGCTTATTGGGTTTGTGTGTCACGATGAAGCAGATTGGGTAGATTTGGGGTGGATGGTTGCGGAGGTGCGTGCTTTTCCTTCTTGCCTCTTCCTCCATCACCCCTCGCTTGTACCTCCTTCCTCCCTCCCCTCGAGCTTCCCTTCATCTTCCTTCTCCACGGTTCCTTTCCTTCCTCTTTTTGCTCGACCTCCTTGCTTGTGTCAGTACTAATAGGCGGTGTCAGTACTTATACTGTAGGTGCCCACAGCTTCCGCGCACAATCTTCCTCGTTCAAGATAAGCCGCCAACGTGGCGACGACAACGATATGGGGCTCGAGATCGCCTGGACTTCGACGATGGGACGTATCGAGCGCGTCGCACGCCGTGTTGACGTCCTCGCACGGCATCTTCAGCTCGTCAGATGTCACCGCCTGAGCCTTCTCATACACGCCCAACTCCACCGCGAGCAGCAGCGCTAGCAGCAAGGTCGACACGGAGGATCACGCTGTCACGCCCATCACCCTGCTGGCCAACCCGTGCTTCGACATTCCCTCTCTTCCGACCAAGGGTGCACCTGCGTATCCCGAGCTGGAGAGTGATGAGAGTACCGTCAAGCGAGCGTATCCTACCCTTCCCTGTGAGGACGCAGCAAAGCAGCAGGAACAGCAACGGTGCATGACGGTCACCGTGGACAACAGTCAGTGGGGTCTGGCGTGCGCGGGTTTCCTGTCTAAATGTCATATCTGTATCTAATTTACGTTCCGTATGGTACCCGCAATATCCACCCACTATATCTTGTCAATTTGGTTCATTCTTGACCCGTTGCTATTGATCACTTTTTTTTTCTTTTCTCGTCAACGCCTCTATTTTTTCCGAAATGCAAAGTCAAGTCAAAGTATGGCTCTCTAGCTAATTGTCCATGAGGCCGCGAGGAACCAACCGAAGGTTGGTGACGAGCGGCATGATTATGAATCCCAGTTTGACCTATTAGGCTGTATGCCCAGTTCATCATAGGATAATTGGATACAGTTTACTGCGGGTAACTGATAGTAAATTAAAACTGTGATCGTTATGTCTTGGGTAGCCGCTGGTGGCTGCGCTGAAGATGCATGTATTACATCAGAGGGCCGAGATGGGGACAAAAATGATGGCCCAGTTGCGAATTGAACGCAAGTCTCTATGTATCACTTTCCCAATGATGGGTGTTAGTTCAGCATAGTGTGTTCCCATTACACCACAAGGCCATACCCAGAACTCCAGCTAGGTGGATCATAGCACTTGGATAGCCGGCGACGATGGCAACGCTGAACTTATTGCATGACTTGGGATTGGGCCTCTTCGAGGCAGATGCTGAACCTTTAGGCTGAGGCTCCACCAGGGATGTGGAAAAAAAAAATTGAAGCCGCTTAAAACAACTTTGTTCGATAGGCCGTTTCCAACGAGTGTCGGTTTACATACATTCACAAAAGATGGGGGGGTCTCACTTGGGCCACTGTAGATGATGCTAAACACCAGATAACTGTCTAAACTGTTACATAAATCGGTTTTCTAGAGGTCTTGGCCATGCGCCGGGACACAGTTGAATTCCCTTGTTGATGATGGCGGAAAAAACGGTCCTTCGAGGCCAAAAATCACAATAAGAACAAAATTCAAGCCGCAGGGTGCAACAGGCCGTCCCGTAGCGAACAACTGCCATTCTTCTCGTGTCCAAGACTGTATTGGGGGATGGACTCAGCACAGAAGAAGAACTTCAGCAGAATCGTGGCACTGGTAGCCTCTGGCTGGGGTACGAGCGGTAACGTATCGTACCGCGTCTGGCTTGCGCTGCTCTAGAGAATTTTTCGGATCCCATTTCTGTGGGTGCAATCCTACGGCTCCGAGTCTGGGGTAATGGTGGGGTAAGGACAGGCGATGGAAAGATAAATTCGGATCGAGTCTGGTGGGACTGTTCGCATCCTGACAGTGAATGAGTGGGTCATGTATATTCAGTGGAAAATAAACTCGTATTCGTAATTCATGCCGAAGTTGCTTTGTGGTACCTTCAATTGCACCATACGGAACCGCATTTTTTTGGAAAGCTTTGGCAGAATATATTGTTGTACCATGCAGTAAGCTTCTGCTCGAATTCGACATCTGAATTCATTTCTTCTTTCATATCGAGAGGTGAAGCAGGGGCAACGCCACTAATGGAGGTGAAGTGTACCACGGATCTGTGCCTCAAAGGCTGCATACCACCCATTGACCTTGCCGAGGATATCAAATTTTTGAAGCCTTCCCAGCATAATTTCAAAAAGAAAACTTGGTTACCATGGCGCGGATACTTGGTTCCTTTGTACCATCGAGTGTATGGAAATTTTTGTCCAGGTTCAGTGTTCCGTCCAGCCAAGACTTGTGCAATCGGTAGAGTGAAGCACAAATATACATTCATGAATATGAATATTCATCAAAGTTAGAGAAGTGATATTCGCATTCGTACGAGTATTGATGGCGAATATTCGTTGATTAGTAAGCAGTATTCGCGAATATTCGTGAGTGGCAACTATTCACATTCAGCGAGTTTGAATACTCATTAGTTGTGAGTTATTCATGAATACCAGGCGTATAGAGTTCAATTTCAGCTACTGAACTCCGAGCTGTCTTCTTCACCAACAAACTCCCTGTCGGAGTCCCTGATCTGAGGTTGCTCTACTGTACTATTTTGACCAAATGTTCATGCCATGTCACCTGTCACCACAGGTGTTCACTAGGACCCATGATTATCCCAACAGAGGTCGGATACCAAAATGGCCGCTCCAAAAAATTTTGTCCGAACTTTCACTCGGGCCCGCGGCCTAAATTTTGTCCGAACTCTGCCTCTAGTGGGCGGCCGGTCACATTTTTGTCTGAACTTTGCATCTGACCTCGAAAAAGTGTGAATTTTTTCTCCAGGGCCCCCAAGAAGCACAAAAAAAATCTCAATTTATTACTGGAGGTCCTCCTTGTCCTCCTCTAGCTCTAGTAAGCTAACATTGGTCTTCCCTTTTCTTCTCACCATATTCAAACTTGCGACCGCCTTCACCAAGAGTTCCTTCTCATCTGAGAGCTCTTCGAAGATTTTCCTGGCATGGAGTCCAACCTCGACATGGTCTTGGAAGATGCTCACTCCCTCATTGCCATCTTGGGATAAAAGGAAGAGAACAAAGTTTGATGCTACATGCCACCTGCATCTCCCAGTATCAACAGAGATAAACCACATGTACATTGTTCAGGTATCCTGTGCACTCCACCCCATTCCAAATTCGTCACAGCAAAGTTCTATTTCGACAAGTAAGGTAACTGCCATTTGTTGAACAACACTGCGGTGGCCAATGGATTTTAAGGACAAAAACATGTCGTCCAAACATGACTTCCCGTTTGGGTAAATTTTCCTCGCCGCCCCAAAGATCCGGAAAAAATGATCCATTTTTGGACATATGTTGTGCATCAAAAACAGAGTCTATTTTTCCATCCCAAACTCCCATGAAAAACACGCTATGTTCAGTTTCTTTTTAGTTGAGAAACAGACCCCTTTTCGAGCACCAAACAGGTGTTTTTCCATTGTAATCCCTCTGTTTGGGACATAAAACAACATATCTCTACTGCTATAAAAGCGACAGAAAATGGGGTATTTTTCTCGAGTGTTTGCGATGCAAAGGGGAATTGAATTTGGGTTTTATTTGTGAATCAAAAATGTATCCGAGAAAGTGGATTTTTAGGATTATCTTTCGGACGACTATAAAAATACAGGCAAACGGGAAGACATGTTTGGATCTGGCGTTTTGTTCCCAAAAAGTCATCGGCCACTGCGGTGCAATGTCCGAACTTTGATCTGACCTCCGATCACGGTGGCCCCGCTGTCCGAACTTCGCATCTGAGGTCCTGTGATTGGCCCTCCAATTTGTCCGAACTTTGCACTGACCTATGCCTCCCAGATCCAAAAATTTGTCCGAACTTGGTATCCGACCTGTCAACCGATAATCATGGGTCCTTGTTCACTCGGCTTGGTATTCATCACCCAAAATTACCATAAATAAATGGCCGGCAAGTGCCGGCCAACATCTTTTGACATTTTTTACCCCTATGATCGGATCATGAGATGATGAGAGTCTGCGGGGTTAATCGTAGCAAAAGAGATGGGGTAGACCGTCGCATATAATCTTACTGTGCATCTGCTGCTTCATACTGTTCACATCTCCAACTGACCCAGCGATATGATCTGAGACATAGCTGACGTATCTCATAACCTCAGGCTTGCCTCAGGATTGCTTAGCGTGGTAGGTGTCGTCCATGCATTCCGAGTCAACTTTTTTGCATTAAATCTTGCGCCACTGGAAGCCACGATCGATTCGGTGCAAGGCGAGCTTTCAATCTCTCATACCCAATAAATGTTGCACATTCGATGATGCATCTTGTTGTCTACCATTCTGACGCCATATGGAAAGAGAGTGGGCCAGAGCCAACTATTTTTCGTTGTTAATAACACGAACAGTCATCTTCCCCAATACTATCCCCCCCCTAGAACTCGGACACTTAAGAAAGAAGCGTGAATAACTTTGTTCTGAGTGACTCTAGTACAGTTTTGAGGTTATAGACTTTTAGAAATCCGGAAACTGATACGGACTGAGTTTTTGGTTTGTGGAAAACGGCCCAGTGTTGGTCGAGCCAGGACGACTTTGCTGACGAGACCTGGTGTCCGGGTTGTAGATAATGGCTCAATTCCTGATTGCCGGCCTCGTATTACAGCACCTACTCCTCGTAAGGGCTTGAAATGTTACATGGTAGGCCTCCTACCTTGGGGCTACTATATATATATAGGACTGGGCCAGGCAGACCCATGAGGACTGGCATGGGACATGAAATTTCTTGACATCAATTTGGCCAATTGAGAGATCAAATTGGCAGGCATTGCCCGAACTTTCATATTCGTATGATAGCTACAGGGCAGCTATGTCTCTGAAACTTTGCATGGTCACTTTTATGATATAAGAGTGTCCCATACATGCTTTATTGAGGCGATATCACCCCAGGTGAAGGATCCTAGGGCCATAAATACCCAAAATGTTCGAAATCCTGGTGGGTACCAAATGTTTCGAGTGTTATATATCCCATAACCATGGGTATGGAAGGATATTGCACCGTACATCTCTAGGACATATCCTAACGCTTATATTGAATCAAAAATCTCCGAGAATGGTGCAGAATTGGATGAGAAATGTTTGTTTGTCCGAGTTGTAGGTTTGTCCGGCGCGGCGGCGGGGGATAGTACAGCGCAAGGGATTCGCTGATCGTGAACGAGAAAACGTACGAGACAATTTTCTTTCATTCACAGTAAGACAAATGGGTCGTCACAAAACAATGCAGGGGGACAGGCCGCGTACGAGATGTCCGGAGACCCGTCGAACGGGGCGCCCGGATATGGCGGTCGTTATTGGACAAAATCCGAGTGGGCACGCGTGAAGAGCGTGACCATTCGTGCCCATGCGTGGCTGCACGGTGCCACGCGTGTCTCACCAGTGAATATTGAGTGGGCATTAATGTTGATCCACCTGTGCCCAGAGAATGCCAATTTTTCTGCACGCATGGAGCATTCATGGGTCTATAAGGACAAAATTTCAGTATTCAGCCATCCAACGACTCGATTTGGGAAGATCCAAGTTAAGGGCCTGATCGGTAACCGTTAATTCACGCGTGAATGTGTGAATTCTTGTAACGCTACTGTCACGCTGCTTCTTTCGCTTCCTCTTCGCCTCACTATCGACTCCTGGCCGCCACCACCACGCTCCAGCCGCCTGCGCCCCATGGCCTCTCCTCCGGGCTCTCCTTCCGGCTCTCCTGGCTCTGTTTTCCCCGAAATCCCCAACAACGCCGGGGCCTCGTTCACTGAACTATGTATGCACTGGACTCAAACTGGACTTTTTCTTGCAGGATCCGACCCAATACCTGAGCGGCAACGGGTTCAAGGCGAAGTCTGCTACAGCGATCTCGGCAGCTCTGAAAAAATGATGCCCTATACACCCCATTCGCAAGCAAGACCCGGTTGGCAATAGGCTGCGATACGTGAGTACTGTGTAGACAGGGTCTCTGCTCTTGCATTTACCTTTCCTCAGGTGAAGCGCACTTTTGAAGAGTACGGATTCGTGCAGGGAAAGAGCGGAGTCGGATGGGATGGCGGTGAGAAGAAGGCCACCACAGAGACGAATTTCATCACGAAGTTCACCGAGGTGCG